TTCTAGGCCACAGCCACCTTCAAGGGTGGCATCAGAATCCCATCTTTACGGATGAGCCTCAGAAGATGTCACTTGTCTGAGCCAGCTTCCAGTCTGGGGCTTACTGCTCCGACTCAGAGTTCACCTGGAGATGTAATACCCATACTACCCACCAAGGATGTCCAAGAACTCCTGGACTGTGAAACTGGACACCTTTCAGGTAAGAATGACCCAGAGCGGGTGTGCCTGTCTCATTTTTTGCTATACGCTGGCAGGTGGCAAGGGGAAATGCCCAAAGTCCAGCAGGGTCTTCTCCACCTTGTGGATACAGAAGAGCCATCTGGAGAATGGTGTAAACTTCCCCATGCCCCAGAACCCATGCGAGGCCAATTAAGTCAGGCTCTGAGGGACAAGGGGACAGCAGAGCTCAGGCATTTCTGTTTTTTAAAGCATACGTGATTCCGGCAAATAGCCAGAGTTGAGCACCAGTGTAGATGGAAACAGACAAACAGGCATTAGGAAACTTCGCCACGCTACAGGTCTTTCTGATTGGCTGCTGCCGGCTCACAGCTCTGACCACATTGCCTCCTGAGTTGCTCAGGGTATCTAAAAATACAGCTCGGCATGCTGCCTCCTGACTCAGACGCCCTTCAACCTCAGGCTAGGTTTTCTTCCCTGTCCCATGCTTGCGAGATGAGGACATAAACAAAACCAGTTCGGATGGCATCCTGTCACGGGAGGTGCTCAAGCCAAGAAGACAGGAGTGAGCTTTTGTCAGGCAGTCAAGCTAGAAAGGTGATGTTTCCTGAGGACACACCAAGCACACCACACACAAAATAAGAAAATCTTTAATAATAATCCAGCAAATTAACTGTCTCCCTTTCTAAAAATTGTTACAATGATTCTGACATATTTTTTCCTTTCATTTCAAAGAAAATCGTCAAGTAATTGAGATTTTTTCTGAGAAATAATTTATTTCACAAGAACTAGGCTTTTACAAAAATTGTGATATAATTTATCATTTTTAAACCTTATACAATTGCATAACTCATCCTAGTAAAGAGAAAAGATTGAGACTGTTCACTGAACAAAAACACTGGATAAACTGGCATGATTGGTATCATATTTTATGCAGGAGAAATATAATCTTTTTCTTAATAAACCTTATATTTCTGTAAATTTTGAGTTTTTCCCAAAATGTTTTAAAATTCATTCTCACTTTCTTCTTCACACTTATAGGAAAAAACTTTATGATGTTCTCATTTGTGCTCACACCATTTCTGTAAATAAGATGAGCAGTATTAGGCCATTTTAGAGATAGGAACATTGAGATCCAGAGATAGTCAATAACTCTCTCAAGGTCATAAAAGGTTAAGAGAAAAAGCCAGAGAAAGAGGCAACAGATTTCAATGTTGCAGCTGATAGTCAACATTTTGCACATAGCACAATGTGCATGCCTGTGTGTGTGTGTGTGTGTGTGTGTGTGTGTGTGTGTTTTAAAAAGTCCAGTAGACTCAAGGCCAGCCTGACCTGCATAGTGAGACCCTGTCTCAAAAAGACAAAAAAAACATCCAGTAGACAAGACTAATGTTATGCAAAGAAGTGAAAAAATCTCAGTCAAAACTGAGTTCTCTGAAGCAGAACCATTGTTTCAAGTTAGCACATTTTACCAGTGGAGAGGATTATAGAATCAACTTAATGAATAATATTAACTTGCATAAAAAGCAGCTACACAAGCCCTCATTCTTCATCCAAGTGCAGAAAGTGACACGTTTTTATCATATTCAAAGGATAAAATCCTTAGAAAACGTGATGAAACAACAAACAGCTGTCTGACTGCCTGCATATTTGGCAAAGAATCACTTCATTAAAACAAAATAAGCTTCATAAATAGTACGATTAAAATAATTCCTACCTTTGACGGCAGGACTCAAGAGAAGGGAGGAACTGCTGCCTCACCCACCAGAAAAGAAAAATTGGCCCAGCAGCTGCCACTCTGAGACCCGTCGGCCCAACCTGAACCAGAAGAACAAGAGCACCCTCGACTTCTTAAAAGTTGAAGGTTTTCAAACCTACCACAGACATTTCCTATTTCATTTATTTAGTGTCCATTTGCTTTCACTGTGATAAGACGCCTGCGCCACAGACCCGGAATTTTAATGGCTTGAAAGGAGGGAAGGACTATTAGGAGACAGCTTGGACTAGGAGACCGCTGGTTAAGGGGCAGGGCTGCAGGTGCAGGACAGAAAGAGGCATGGAGTGCGCCCCCCCCCTCAGTAAGAGGAGGGAGCTAGGACAGCGTGTGGGGAGTCTTTTATCAGTCTGCCTAGATGAGAAGGGGAGCCTTGAAAGCCGTCAGCAGGCAAGCATCAAAAACTGGAGTGAGTGTCTTTGTGACAAAGATGGGAACCAGACCCAGGGGTTCAGCAGGTTTGACTGGAGCCAGTTTGAGGTCAGACTTGCACGGCCTTTGGGTCCCGGATCCTGTGAACAAACTCCTGTCACTCGGACCCTGTAGGTTCAAAGGAAGGCCAGGAACAGCCTTAATCCACTGAAACCCAAATTAGGGCTTTGTCATTGTCTTACATGTCTGCACACAAAATGAAACTTCAGGGCTTCTAATATTGCCATTGCTAGCAGCATTGTCTTTGAACTTGGAGGGGTGACACTCTGAGTCTCTTTACCTACAAGTAGAATTCTATGTCCAGTCTATCCCGTGCGCATTAGGTTCTGTTTCAGCAACCACACTGCTCGGGACAGCTAGCACCCTCCCTCTCTCTGAGTACGTGTAGGTCTTTGTTCTTGTTGTATTTTGTTGCTCTGTTTTGTCTTTCTCTCCCTTACTTCTCTATTGAGATTGCCTTTTGTGGTATTGTTTTCTACTTTGTTTTCCGTTCCCATAGAAAGGAGAGTCTTGAGTCTTACTGCAAGCTCATGGGAGATTAAATTAAATTAATCAGGAATCAATTGCTATGGGCTTTGAGCTCCCATAAGTTCTTCTGAATAAGCAAATCTGATCAGGTCCTAAATTTGCTAAGTCTTCCTGTAAGAATTACCGCTCCTTCATGTGCTCCTGCTCGGATCTCAGGATCCGGCACTGCTCTGCTCCGATGGGCAGTGTCCACCCAAATAAGCTTGCCCAGAGGGGGAGCCACCCAGGAAACCCAACCTGTTCCTCACCAGTTGCCTCTGCAATATTTATGTATTAGTACATGACTCTTCTGAGTATATAAATTACCTTACATATCAAATCACTACTTAGGACAAATCAAATTACTTGTGCTTCTCTATCAGTCATTTTTGGAGAGAACTGAAGAGCTCTTTCTCTTTCTTGAAGATTTTTAAATCTTATTTTACAGTCACCAAAAAAAAATTCTCAGAGTTATATTAAATTCTCAACGTCCAATCTTCTTTCTCATTACCTAAACTGATGTAAGCGCTCTCCTCTTCCTCCTGTCCATTCCCACCATGCCCTGGGGCCAAATCAACTATTTCTTACAAGGAAGGAATTCAAACATGTAAATATAACAGCAGTTAGGCAGAAGCATTCGGGCAACTCATCCTGCAGGAGAAATTAGTAAGGGTTCACTCCCTGATATTTAACTGGTAGTTTTCTCCTCTTTGCAAATCAAGTCTTCGCTCTAATGGGCAGGATGGCCCTACCAGCATTTCCTCCAGAGCTGTCATGCCCCAAAGCTGCTGCTGCTGCTCAGACCCCACAATTCACCACCACCGGCCACCACTGTCATCATCTCCCGCGAAGGGATTAAAGCTTATCGAAGCCAATTAATGAGGAATACAACACACAAAAGATAGATTCAGGCTCATCATTTGCTATTAAAGAAGAAAAAAAGATTCTAGGTAAACTGCAAAAATTCTACCAAGGTCAAGCTTTTTGATCCCAATTAACACCACTTTTATAAGGTAAAGCCTATGGTGGAAAAGGCAGCCTTTTTTTTTTTTTTTTTTTTTTCCTTTGAAAGAACTCATTTGAGCATTCCCAAAGTAATTCTTCAACTATTATACCAAGTCTATGCGAAACAAACTCCTCCACCCTAAATGTAAGGAGGAAAAGCATGTGATCCCAAATATGTTCCACATTCACGTGGTTTAATTCAATCATTTCAGGTCAACCGGTTGTTCATCCCTCACGGTATGATAGCGGCTCAAGCATCTTGTACTTGCACGCACGGCCCTAACAATGCGCCCCCTGAAAATGTTACCAGGTTTCACTGAGCTTGAATGTAGTTGTGAGAGCCCCATTTATGATTATCCGCCAAATTCTCCTGGAAATCCCAAATTCAAGGGCGGCTGCTGGCCACCTCCGGTCCCTCCCACCGCGCGCTTCCTGGAATCTTCCCAGTGCCCTGCCCGAGCCCTGGCTGCCAGCCCCAAGCGTGCGCCCCGAGGACGTCCAGCCAGGAGGGCGACACTGCCAGGCAGGCATAACGCCCCCTCTCATGCCTCGGGCTGCTCCAACGACCTGTCCTGCGCTCCGGGAGGGCTGGTGGGTGCTTTACCAGAGCCCGGGAGCCCGGCACGGGGCCCACAGTCACTTGCCTCCCACATCGTGCACCCTCAACGCACGCAGAGTCCGGGGGAACGAGGAGACGGGGTGGCTGGACCCGGAACACCTCGCCCCGGGCGCACGGAGCCGGCTCCTGGGCGCGGCATCCCTGCGGGCACCGAGCCCGCGCTCAGGCAGAGAGGTGGCTCCGCCCGGGCCGCGAAGGGCGCACCACTCGCGGGCCTGCGGTCGCGCCAGGAGTGCCGGGGCCGGAGTGGCCGCCGAGCCCCGAGAGCCCGGGCTGCCATTGCCCGGACCCTAGGATGGGCAAGGGCAGCGGCACCTGCAGGGTCGGCCCGGAGGTCTGCGTCCTCGCTGCTGGAGAGGCCGGATCTACCCGCTTCCTCAAGTGGCAAGAGCTGGTGTCAGGCGGGGACGCTCCCAGCGGCGGCGGCCGGAGCAGGCTGGGGGTGCCCAGCTAGAGCTTCGCCCCGCGCCCCGGGCGACCACTCACCTGGCAGTCGCTGCCCGAGACCCCAGCGGGACAGGTGCAGTTGTAACCGGGCTCGCCGGCGGAGGCCGGTTGCTCCTGCCCCGGCAGCGGGTGCGGGGTGCACACGCCCCCGTTCCGGCAGGGCTGCGCGGCGCACGGTCCTGGGGCGGGCAG